TCCAAGCTATAACCTTGAGATATCAAAATGGAGGCCTCAGTGCATGGACAACAGTTAGGCTGGTCAAGGGACTGGTAATACCTTAGCTCACCTATGGAATAGAGATCTGTGGAAAAAAAAGCCTAATCAGAAAGGTACAAACCAGTCTCAACAAGATAATCAAGGATGCCTTTAGGTTGAAAAAGAAGACTCCAACTCTTACTTTCCAAACAGAACTAGGGATCCCCCCTTTGCCCTAATTGCCCAATACCAACAAAGCCTGCTGACTCTCAGGGCTCATACAATGGACCAGGTATCCAACATGACAGCAAGATAGGCTAGGGACCATGGTACCCAGGACTTTATTAATACTGCTGACAACTACCAGCTGGGGAAGGATGGTTTGGGAGACCAACTACACAACAGGTGGAAACAAAAGCTGCAAGACAATGTTACAGATACAAAGGAAGAACTAGGAAAATGCATACACACCTGAGAATGCTCACAGGAATAGAGCACAAGAGGCTGATAGGCCTCTAAGCTATGGCCAGATGGTTCTACCAAGTGATCACTGGCACCAGGTAGCAGTGTCTATATGACAGGGACATCATTACCTTCAACCACTTTGCCAATTGGTGTGGTATGACCAAGAAAACTACAACCCCACTGTTCGATAACAAAAAACAAAGATAACTGCTAAACTGGATTGAGTAATAGTTAGAGCAAACTCAAGGTTACACAAGTGGGATCACAATCCAACAACGAATAGGTTGCAAGGTCTACAGTCAACTTACACATGTCATAACCCATACTGAGGCCAAGACGGAGTAGAAAGAAAAAATCCTGCCCCATATGTAGTAAACACGTACCCCGGGACAAACAACATGAGTAGGCCTATACTAATACATATAATCTAGTGAAGAAGGGGAGAGCCACCCCAGAGGAGGAAGGCTGATAAGTAGGAGGTGTCAAGTAGACCAGGAGAGTAATTCTGATCAGTAGTAATTTTATTATATATACAATTGTAGTGTCTGAGATGTTGGCATAGGTTTCTTTTGTCAGATTGGATCTCATTATATCTACAACCATGGGGCTGGGAGCAGGCAAAGGTTCCTTTTGTAGTGGAATTTACTATGTCCATAACTATAAGGCCAGCAAGCAGGTATGAGTTTTATTTGTTGAATTGGATCTCATTGTATTCACAACCATGAGGCCAAAGAACAGGCATGAGTTTCATTTGTGGAGGAACTATTAGTTGAGAGATAGAGAAGGCAGGAGGAGGAGTTTTCTTTGTTAAGGGCTTATAGGGGGTGTGATAAAGTTTTCCTTGAGGGGGGCCAAGGATTGAGGACTGTATCCCAAGCTGTACTCTAATTACTTTAATTAGTAGGCAAGATAGTAGTTGAATAAAAGATTTACACACACATACGCCTTGACAAGTTTTACCTTTTTTTTTTGTTAAGGTGCTGACAAAAAAATGATTTTAGTTACATTACTATTGTCAAATCATACAGTACTATTACCAGTATCACGATTTATATTTACGAGTACAGGAGATGGAAAAAAGTAATGTGATACTCGTACAACATAAATCTCTGTATATCGACATTCTCGACAACGTATAGTACTACCTCATTCCACAACAACATTTAATAAATAAAATAAGTAAAGAAGATAAAATAAAATAATCCTCAGTATTCCCCTGAAGTAAAATAAAAAGAAAACCCTAAACCAATAATTAGTTTAGTGTCTTTTTCTTCTGATAACCTCTCTGATTCTTTTTGTCATACTCCTGCAAAAACCCATAAACCTTGTATTAGGAATAGCTTCCCAAGCTTCCTCCACAGCTCTGATTAGCTCTTTTCTATTTGCAACTCTTTCATACCTTTTCTCCAAGTAAGTCTTCATATCTTCCCAGATATTCTCAATCAAGTTCAGATCTGGAGACTGTGATGGTTAAGGCAATATATCTACCTCATTTTTCTTTCTACACTTTGTAGAAAATCTGTAATTAAATTAGTAGTTAGATTATATTCTTAAGTAAGTAGTTCTATAATAATAAGATAGAAAATAAAATAATTATAAGATATGTGAAAGAAGATAGAACTTACTTTTGATGTCCTGATATACCATCTTCAGCAACCTTTGTTCAACCAAATCTCTCACAACACTCATACTAGAAAGGAATTAAAACTAGATCCAGTATACACTTAGTATACTCACAAGAATCTATTTTAACCTTTCCTAGTACTACTACCAACTTTGACCTCAGATTTCCATAAAAGGCTCTCCATACGATAACAGTATCTTTTTCTGACTCTCAGACCTCATCCAGACAATCCTGATTATACTCCTCAGAAGGCTCTCTTATCACCCATCCTCTCTATCCAAATCCAGCTGTAGAGAAAGAAGTTTCATCTGTCCATATGATTCTAGACCACTCTCTCAATTTCTAAGCTCTTTTTCTCACGTACCAACCAAATCTAATTGGTATGTTTTTAGAGTGCAAACCCTATATAACAATCCTCCTTCAGATGTTTTAGTTCTTGGTGACGGGGAACAATACTTACTTTTTTTCTGCTTCTTAGTCTTACGATAGCTCTAGGCCTATACCTATGTTACTGATAGTACAAGTCTTTTGTCTTTTATCGGGAATGCCTATTGTAAGGTTTCTCTAACTCTCCTTCATGAAGAGTTATCCTTAGCGTAACAATAATAAAAATCGTGATAATGATAAAGAGTGTAAAGGTGTTTTATTTTTCTTTATAGCAATAAGTAGGAAAAGTACTTAGAACAAAGTGTGAAGAATCTATCCTCCTCAGCCATACTGGCCTCCTTATATAGTATTCTTCTCGCCCATAGTCACGTGACTCAAAGTGGTCACAAGTGTGAAACCAAATCATAACAAACTAGTCATATGACTAAAGTGGTTCCATGTTGAAATCCCATGACCTCATAGCAAGGTTGTATGCAAAAACTCATAAACCAATCATAATACAATAAACAAGTCATATGACTTGAATAAGTCACATGCGCAAAACCCATAACCTCATAACAAGGTCATGTGCTAAATATAAAACGTATATGTAAGGCATACCCGCAAGGCACACTTGTAAGGCATACTTGCCAGGCGCATATCCTATGACTCATATTCGAGTCATATGTGAAACCTATCAAATCAAATCATATGACTCAAATGTGTCATATGCATAAAACCATAACATACCTATGACTCATAATTATGCGTCATGTGAAAACCCTTTCCGTGCTAAGTCACATTTGTGATACCCTATCTAAAATATATTTTAACTTTGTAAAATCATAAATTTTTATTAGAAAACTTACTTCTTGCGAGGTTTTCTTTTATTTAAATTAATACTCTTAGCTGTCTTCCTGATTGTTCTAGATGAGGCCTTCAATCTCTTTACTTCTTTAATATCTTCCTAAGATAGTCTTCTATTTCTTTTATTTTCTTTAATAAAAGACTTCAGATTATCTAGATCAGACTCTTGGAAGATTGGAGGTCTTCCCATTCACTGGTAGTTGGATGGACTACCTGTTTCCTAGCAGCGGTGATAGATGCGAGCACAAGTATTATGGTGTACTTTGAGGCCAGTTTTTTCCTCCAATTTAGCAGCTATCTTTCTGAAAGACCATTCTGCTATTTCTTGTAGGGCAATAATTCGGATCTGGTCATCTCAGATAGTTTCTCGCTCGAAGCATTGCTTCTTCTTCATCAACCATAGCCATTGCTCAATGTTTTCTGAATTGATCGCTATTTCATTTTATCTTATTATTATCTCAACTACCTATGTACATTTATTTAATTAAACTACTTACGTTCACCGCGGCAAGTTCTTTTTACCCACATATTGATTCTTGAGGAAGGTTTGGAGGGCTGTGAAGGATAGAGGTGATATCACAATAAGGAGATTGGAAGCAGAAATGCGATCGTGGGGGATGCCATTGCAATGGTGTTGCACTACTTCCTTCCACCCCCTTGTACAGTACAGTCTCCGGTCCACTGCACCTCCTTCCCTCATTGTCAATGAAAAACCTAAGTTATGCCTTCTTGGCGACAGGCGAACATAATACTTAGTCAAACTATCATTCCCGGCTCTTATATATGTATAATGTATAATATGTTTTACGCTTGTGCAGTTGAAATTAAGAGTGTGTCACTGGGGACTACACAGCACCTCTGTGTCAACTTTTTTTTTTTTTTTCGTATTATAATATCATACGGGTAGTAATGATCTGTTTTCATATATCATACTGTATACATCTATATTATCACCACCACTAACCCCCGCCCCCTTTCGAATCGTTGAACCTTGAAGTCGGCGTCGGGAGACCGTCGGTTTATTCACCACGGTGTTCATACATGTAAACAAATAAATAAATAAAAGGTAAAAAAAAAAAACCGAAGGGGAATGATGAGAAATGAAAAAAGGAGCAAATAAGCACGGTGAAGAAAAAGAAAAAAAAAAAGAGAAAAAAAACAGGTGACATCATAACCAATCACTCGTAGCGTAATATCAGCCTAACTTTAAACTGTCCTGAGATTGGGGGCGAGTTTCTGAAGGGATTTTAATTCTCGCACTCCATGTCTACAGTGCGGTAAGACGAACGCTACAGCATGTCTGACACCCGAGTCTTGCTTGGCCCGGACACGGGGGTTATCATGATCAACTCCTCCGCTGGGACGACGACAGCACGAAGCAATATCGCGGCCCTTCCTGCCTCTCGCGGAATGTTGGGCCTGCTGGGTGCAAGGAAGGTGTGGTGTATATTTTGTTTGGGCATAGGACGGCTAGGAATCGGGGATGGATTTCCCGTTTCGCTAAGTATGGTACCGGTACAGTGAAGTTCAGTCTGGTCAAATAGATCTGATACAGTATGATATCGGCACTGACATCCTCAGCGCACACACACCTATCAGTACAGTACACAGTGCACAGTATCATACAGCTCAAGCCACGCGTACCAGGCTTCGTATCTCGCCACGGGACCGCTCCTAGTAATATCGCTCCCTCTCAAAATTCATTCATCTATATGCCTCGGTACCAACCCGTGCCATACCCGGCCAGCACCAGCACCTATACATGCAAAATTACAGACTTGCTATCATAGTAATATTATCTTTTTGCTCACTCCGGCCCCTTCACCCCACACCCTCCCTTCAAGAAGTGAATTATCGTGGCACCTGAGTGAGTGAGGGAAATGGGCGCAGCAGTGACAAAGGGGTATAAATGGAGCCACTAAGAGGATAAAGGTCCTCGATACGATCTGAGCAAGATTTTTCAACTAGAAAAAAGAAAGTTAGGAATCGACAGGATTTTGAACGGAAAAAGTTTAGTTAGAAATAGGCATCCTAGAAAAGAAGAAAAGAAGAGAAAATGAATGATGAAGCTCCAAAATGACCAACCCATCGCCGACGCTAACTCCTACCAATCTGGGAGTGATGAGAGAAAAGGAAAAAAAATCCCATCTACCGGTATATAGGTGTTAGCTATCATGCAACATTCGCGTAAAAGTATGTACTTGAATTCATAAATCTGCCAAAACGCCGGATGGAAAGGGAAGTGGAGTCTGTTTTCCCGCGACCTCCGAGTGGGACATTGTCCTAGATGTGCTTGTTCGCACTCGCTTGCATCCTCCTCATTGCCTCCTTGTGAAGGTCTAGCATATCCTTCTGCCGCATCCTCTCGTCGAACATCTCATCCCTGAAGTTTTCCTTCAGATTCTTATGGCGTTCGTTCTGAATTGATTGCATCCTCTCATTCAACATTTCACCCCTTCTCTCTTGAATAGCATGAGTTGCATGACCAGACGTCTGGAGCTCTGTCTTTACCGTCTCACGCCAATTCTTGAGCATAGCTTCACGTCTATCTACCTGAGGCGGAAGGCTGCGGCGTTGCGGCTGAGGAGGCACCGGCGCAACACCGGCCTGAGGAACAACATGTTGAAGGAGCTCGTTGCGGCGATCAGCCAAAGGCATATCATCGTCAAGCATGTTAAGTCGGTACTTATATGCGGACTTGTTGTCACTTGTAGGAAGTTGAGCAAATGGGCCTGTAGATTGACGTTGGGGGACGAAAGGCGCATTTGGGGCAGGGATCGCCATAGGTTGGTGGTGCTTGGGCTCTGGGGGTGGCTGTGGGGCCGGGGCGGGAGATGTTGACCCGTGTTCGGCTAGGGCATTGAAGCTCTGTCTGCTTCGAACCATGCTCTCGCGTTTTCCGATCAAAGTATTTTGTGTAAACGGGATCGGTGTTGCCCTGCCGGTAGGCGACATAGAGCGTTCAACAGGCGAGACGCTCTCTGGTAAAGGATTCGGTGAAGAACTATTACGAATAGAGGGGCGCGATTTCCCTAGCTGTGCAGGTGACCGGTTGACTGGAACTGGCATTGGGTATGGGTTCTCGTGGCTAGATGTTTTAGAGACTGGCCTGGGGGGTGCAGGCGGTTTAATAGCTGCGGTCTCCTGGAGTTCCTCAATATGAACCGGCGCAGGAGTCTCGTCGGGAGCATCAATGGCCTCGGGGGCTTCTTCCAATTTGTCCAATTCGGGCAGCTCAGCATCCGCGAGATGCTTGGCCCATTCGTTCGTTCGGTAATTCTTGAGCACTTTTGAGCACTTTGCTGAAAGCTGTGTTTCTGCGCTAGATGGTGAGGGCGAACTCGACTTGGACTTGGGAGTTGATGCTGGTGTTAAAACTCCGCGTATCTGGGCAAGATTCACTGGGGTTGTGGAAACTACCGGTGGTGGCAAGGTGCTCGGAGGTGTGGAGACGGAAGTTGGTGCGATAAGGGTTGTCTCATCGGGAGAATCAGTTCTCTTCGAGTGATCTTCGGTGACGGGCTCTTTCTCAGCATTATTCTGTAATGGCGCATCGCTCTTTCCGGACCCCGGCGATTCTGCTCTCTCGGATTTATCCTCGACCATTACCTGCGCCTCTTCTCCAACCAGGCCCGGATCAGGATCTCTATTGCGGGACTCATCAAGCACCTCCTCCACTTCAATTTTGACCAGTGGTATGTGCGGGGGGGAATCCTCTTGCGGAGGCTCCATGATCGGTGAGAAATCATCCCCCGCAGGGTCAACCACCTCATCCTCATTGTCGTCGAGGGTTGCTGCTACACTAGAAGCCCTGTCCTCTTCGTCAACCATCTTGACTACTGATCGGAAAGCATCCTCATCTATCTCTTGGCTGATAACTCGATCGGATCCAGCAAACGTAGCGAGAGAAGATACTTCGTCGTCGTCATTTCCCATCTCAACCGGGATCGGGAATGGGAGGGGGATCACCACAGGTGGTGGTGGGACATCAGGTCCTTGCACAGGGGCCTCTTGCGACACCACGGGTTGAGAAGAGAGCCGCTGGGGGGTAGACTGATTCGAATAACTTGGGGCGATGGACTGCGATGACTGGCGTCTTGAAACGCTTCCATGGGTAATGGCCCCCTCGTGTTTCGGAGCTTCTGAGCCTTCAACAGGTTCAATTTTGTCGACATCCTCGAGTGCTTGGTTGTGTTTTGCAGGTCCTTGACTTTTCACCGTGCCACCTCCAGATTCGCTTATCGACTGAGACCTACTCACTCCCATTTGGGCCATCTGAATATGTTCCTCACGTTCTCTTCTCATCTCTTCGGTCTCGACAAATTCCTCGGCCCGCTCAATGCTACTCTTTCCATAGCCCACATCATCCCCAAGTCCCGAGTCCGTTCGGCTTATCCTTCCAGTAGCCGGTCTCTCCTCAGCAATGACTTCATCTGCCTTTTTGCGTCCAAAGGTTGCTTCCCATTGTTCCCGTTCCAGTTTGTGCTCTTCTTCGACCCTTAACCCAGCATCCGCATCCATAGCCTCGATATCTGCATCTTGCCTTCGCCTCTCAGCGTCCTTAGCATCCCGTCGTTCCTTGAGAATGTTCCAAAGCTTGACCTGCGACATAATGCCAAAACCTGTGATGAGAACGATGATAGCGATTTCAACCCTAATACCGCGGGTATGTGGATAATTATCGGTCTCCAAAGGGAAAATATTATCATTAAGGGCTGTCATTGGTTAGCACCTCTCCACGGCCAGATTAACCCTAAAGGGGTGGAAAGGAGGCTTGATCATTACCCCAAATATAAAGCCAAAATTCTTTGAGGCCAGCCCTGGAGAAACAATCGATTCCTAGAACAATTGTCGTTGCCCCAGAAAAAGAGAGCGAAAATATCAAAGAATATGGCTTAGTAAGCCGGTGGAATGCTAAAGCAAAGAGTGCGAAACAAAAGACAGCAATTAGGATAAGCTTGCCGTAAACGGATGCCACCAGCCCTCCGGGTTTCAATACAAGGACTGTCGATCGGGCCGGGTTAGAAAAACATCACCAACCGCTTGGGTTAAGGGGAGGCACTAACACCACATGGAAACACAAAAGCCGCCCAACAAACAGCCCAGGGCTTCTGTAACTTCGGGAAACACAACAGCCAAACTACCTGTCAGAAGACCAGTGATCGTTGCAGCTGTAACATAGGCCCCCTGGATTGCGAATTTAACCGGCGGATTCATGACGTAAACAACAAGGACCGTAACACCCAAACTAGCTAACAAAGCTGTAGATAGGAAAATATGCAGGCTATCCCAAATATTGTCAGTGGATATCATACCCCCTCAAAAAATAAATATCACCCACAATTTGATTTTAATTCCAATTAAGCAGTACGGTATGCCAGCAAGTAAAAGCAACACGCCCGCAACTGCAATCCCAGGTGTTATTGTAGGATCTATTGGCAAACCTCCCTGGTAGATTTCATCTGCTGGGTTTGCTATCAAGAAGTTAGTTACCATGGTCCCAAGGAACTACAAAATCCATATCGACGATTAACATATTGCAAGAAAAAAAAACCCCCACTCGTACTGTTTAAGCTTAAGTTGTCCCCACTCTCGGCCATAGTAGGCGCGGGGGAGCTCTTGATCGTCTCACCAGCATTCTTTCCCCCGGATGTTGGGCTAGGATCTGAGCTCTGAGCATTTCTCGTGGACGATGGAGCATTTGAGGCCGTGTTTGTGGCTGCGCGAGAGATAGATGTCTGATCCACAACCTCGGCATCTGCTGAGGGTCTATTGTTTGAAGTCGTCAGCGCAACATTTCCATCCTGACGGCGATGTATGTTTTCTCCTCCGGATAGAGCAATTCCACAGAAAAGTGAAAGCACAAGCAGTGCATGGAGAACGAAGGGGCGGTCAAGATACATGGCCGGATACTAATCGCCCTTAGAAGGCTCTGCCAGACCCTTTCCTTTCTTCCACGATATCAGGGAGTGACTGAAAATGGGAAGGCAGTCGATATTAAGAGCAGCGGGGTGATTGAAACATGGGCTGCAGTAGTAGTAAAAGAAAGTTAATGTCCGGAGATGGAGGAAGTGAGAAAGAGCGAGAACCGCTGAAGACCAGACGGGAGAAAAATAAGAAAGAACGAACGACAACGAATCAACGAGTGACAGAACGAACGAGCGAGCGTGGTCCGACGTGAAGAGAGAGTGTGGGTGGGTGGGAAGACCACCAATCACGGTTTGCGGTGCTACGTCCGCAGCTTACAGCTCAATGCAAAGAAAGGGTAAGGGAAGAAGGGAAAGGAAAAAGGATGGGGGGGGGGGAAGGGAAGTGTTGGTCGAGTAGGCGGGCCCAACACAAGTAACTATACACACAGTATCAAAGGAGGGGCGGGGATGGAGAGGACACGGGAAGCGGTCAGCGACCTGTACGAATCAGCGAACAAGCGAAAATGAATGGATAAGTGACAAGTGGGTGAAATAGTCCTTTGTCGTACCCTTCTCCGCAAGAGGAACACCAGCTGGGAAAAACATGGGGTCCTTTCTTCTGAATGGAGAAGTATGATACCTTGGTTTGTGTACGAGTACAGTATGATACATGCTGGACAAATCCCCTGTGGAGTCCCTGCCCTTACCGTGCAGTACTGCATCCCTATATAGTATGATAGTGAGTGGAGCGCCGCGATATTGTGGGCTGTCCACAATACCACCACCGCATAATGGCTTGAAGCCCACGGGATCCTGCCTGCCAAATAATATTACCAGTAGGTAGCTTCACCCAAAAAATTCCGCTTGGGCTAGAAAGAACAAAGTAACCAAATCAATTCTACAATGGCCCGAATGAACACCTCCCCCCCCAGGGCATCACAATGAGGCCCTACCTTCCCGCCCTCATTGTTCGTTCTTGCGGAGGAGATGACTTCAATGCGCCAATATTTATTCTGAGCCAACAGTCGTCGCACATTCGTCGCGCACCGCGACGATACCCCGCGCCACATCGACAGGCTGGTCCCAGCACGTACAAAGGGGGGGCAATCAACAAATCCCCCGCACTAAAAAGGACATCCTTGTACTCGTACCGGTATTGTTGGACAGCCAGCTCCGTTGAGGGGAAATTGCAATCATCTTCCGAGATCGCTCCTTCAAGCCAAACAGCAGTAGCAGTGGTCACGAGATGTTGCACAAAGCCAATTCTCAGAAGAATCGGGTATGTACGAGTACGGTGGGGTTACATTGTAATTGGCTAAAATGCCGTATATTTTATACCAATCTGGTCTGCAAGGTACGAGTGCCAATCAGCGTGTCAGTGACGCGATTCCATCCTTGGAACACGCTTCTCTCCCCCCCCTATCATGCTGACACCTGCTTAAACCCCTTACCGGCACAGAACTCGTTTATCAGGGCACGAGCCAGCTTGAGCCTCCATCATCATCAATGTGAGTTGTGACCTTTCGCCCGAAGGCGCAGCCACCATACCAGCTGCCGGCACCGGTATGTACCCTACTGCACGCACTGTACGAGCACGGATATCATGTCGAGTCTTGGAAGACTTGCCCACCGGCCGGTACTCGAGTACCGTAGGGGCACAAGTTGGGCATCGTGCCGTATCGCTCTCATATACCGCTATGTGGGCTTTCTTTCCCGCTTATGCTGTTGGATATTCCCTAACGAGTAAGATCATTGATGAAGAGCTGATCTTATGCGTGTCTGAGCTGTCTCCGTTTGTGGGGTGGGATTCAATATGATTTACTCGAGTACGGATACCGGTACTGGGCTTGTACTAGTACTAGTACTCCGTGCAGTACCCGTACCGGTACTTGTACTGTATTCCGTACCCTTCTCCCGTATTAACACAACATGGCGACGTCAGACCAGGGGGATGTCATCCTATAAGTGCGTTCCCCTCAACTTCTTCTTCCCTTTGAACAAAAGTGGCATAGAATAGTGCCTTAACAACACCATCATAGCGTTCGTACTCACATCCACCATCGCAAAGACGAAAAATACGGGTACATTTTTTTTTTTTTGCTCCTTCTCTTCAAGACCCCCACAGCTGGAACGGACTGATAATCCATGTTTATTGCCTAATCTACTCGAGTACTGTACAAGTATGGTACCGTACAAGTACAAAGATCGGGGGGAAGGTCATGCCCCAGTACCGGTACCGGTACTGTACTCGAGTAGATAAATTTTCCGCATTGGCGAAGAGCTTTCATGCCTTGCCCCTGATTGACCCGGAAGAGGCACAACTGCCAACTACTGAGCAGGTTAATCCCCGAGTATCGCGCAGCACCGGCACTTGTATCCGGAATCCGAGGAAAGCATTGTGGAAACCTGGGACAGACGGGTTTAGTAAACCTTTCCCTACCGTAATTACGGATACCCTTTTAGCAGGCAAGAAGTATCCGAAAACAGGCGCTGCGAGTTTGTAGTATCGTGTGGGAGCTCAGATATACTCGAGCAAGAGGAACGGATTTTTTTGCCATACTCGAGTATATTTCGCCAGTCCCTCCCTGTTCTCGGGTATCAATCATATCATACTCGAGTGCTTCTCGCCTGCTATGATACGAGTTCGGGCGCAGCGCACCATACGAGTACATAAGTTAACCTCATGCTCAAATTCGTTGGTTAATGGTATGATACCGGTACAGCCCAAGCAAGGTGCAAGTACCGTAGGACGCTGGGATAGTTTTGAACTGTGCTCGAGTATACTTGTAATACCACCATCGCCTATCATACGCGTATCCACCGGCCGTCAGCCACTCTAGGAATGTTCCCTTGGACCGGTCCCCTCCAAGGACTCCACCAGTTCGCACCGGTCCTCCTGTGACGACAATCCTCCCTTTTCCCCCCACCGCCCCCAGCACTCGATTACAGAAAAACAAAAGGAGAGAAAAAACACAACTCGGGTGATGTTGACTGAGGCCCCCCCATTACCGCGTTTCCAATTGCCAAAACAAGCGGACAAATCAGCAGGCAAATACCGTAGTAGAACCCCAATCCCCTTCCTTCCTGCTCCTCCTCCTTCCCTATTCACTGCCTGCTATCCTATTCTCTCAACGAATCCCCTCACTCCCCCCCCCCCACCCCACCGGTATATACCCACTCGAGTACCACCTCCGAGGAAATTTCAAAACCTAATTCTTACTTGTAGCCAAGAATAGTTTCCACATAAAACAACGGGGTAAGTTGAGAGAGGTGAACCCGGTCAATTGATCGGCCCTGATTCAGGAGTGCGGTTCCCTTCCCTTTTGCCTTTTTTCCACTCCTTTCCCTCCCCCGCAAGGGCTTCCGACGCACTTTACCGGACAAGTATGAGTGCTCGAGTGCGTATGGATAGAAGGGCGCAATATGCCACTCGATGCTTGGTCCGGTACGCGCAGCACTGTCGAAGCGCAGGATGCGGTAGCAATAGCAATGATAAACGAATACTATTCACGATTCCGCTGTTATGATACGGATACAGCTGAACCCATCTTCCTTCCATCCAATCCATCCTGGAGAAGTTTTGCGGTTCCCCGACATGCTCCAACCTATTGGCTCCAAGTTCTTTGCCCAATAAGCAAATGGCCTTCATTTCTGCACCATAAACTCGAGCTGAAGATTGTTTGTTATTAGCAATGATAGCGTGCGGTGTGATAGCTAGCTACCGGTAGTTAGCTATTACTGGTCCTCCGTGCGGAGTAAGTAACACATGGGGCTGGGACTGGTGTTATACTCGAGTACCGATATGTTGATTTTGATTCATCGGTTGGTACGAGTGGGTATCGATAATCGGTTCGGATCCTACATCCTAAGGCTGTCACAATGGGAGGGGTTCTTTGCACTGGTAAACCTCAAGAAAGTGTCCTGTTCCATCACTACACTACGGTACGAGTTCAAAATCTCTTGCGAGTTTAGGTCATCGGACCGGAATTTTCCCCACTACCAGTACTTGTACGAGTACAGTACCATACTCGAGTACCGTACTGGTACTCAAGATATACTACCGGTACTGGCACTTATCATATGCGGATTCTTCTTTTTTCTTCTTTTCTTCTTTTCTTCTTTTCTTCTTTTCTTCTCTTTTCTTTTTCTTTTTCTTTTTCTTTTTCTTTTTCTTTTTTTTTTTCTTTTTCTTTTTTTTTTTCTTCTTCGAAAGCATGGCTGGCCCCACTGCGGAAATCGTTAGTTGTCAATTGTCGCGTCGGGGCGTGGAAATGTCCGTCTTACCGTGCTCGGGTACGGTAGGTACTTCGCTGGAAGGGGGGAGAACAGTGAGAAGGAAGGAAGGAAAAAGGAATACTTCCCGCAGCAGCCTTTCTCCACAAATTACTTGGTGCGGTGGGAGAGATTGTTGGGTTCTTACTGACTCGAGTACTCGTACGGTGCCACCGGTAGCAACTCGTGTGCCTGTCACAGAACTGTGGAGCAGGTACGAATTGTTCCACTTATGCATGATTATTTACTTGGGGGCGAGGGGGGTGGGGAGGGGGAGGAAGGGAGAAAGGTGGTAAATGTTATATACAGTATCATGGCACGCATGATTCTTGCTTGCTTGTTCGCTTTGTGCTTTTACCATTCCAAGCCAACCGGGGGCCTTTTTCTCCCCAGGTACCGCACCACGAATGAACGCCTTGCCCTTTCCTGTATCAGCACTCGTACCGTACAGCGCATTCTTTGGCTCATGATTAGTTGATCGGTTCGCCATCGTCGATACTTGTACCTGGGTCGCCGGGTTGGAGCTGCCCTTGTCCTCCCTTACCGTCGTGCCTTGGAAAGGCAACTCGACGGAACTCCAACCCGGGCGACCCGAGCAATAAGTCATCCCCCGACAATAAGACTAGGGCTACCGGTTGGGGCAAGGCAGGGGCAATCACTAATCTCCGGTTTTCCAGTTTACTTGTACGAGCACAGTTAATAAAATAAAACTGCGACAAACGGTAGACTTATCGCCTCTCCCCGGACTGAACCCGCGAAAGCACCTTCTTCTCTTCTTCTTCTTTGCGAAACCCCCCCCCCCGGGGGTATGTTTCCACATCCGCACCCGATACAGTACAGTACGTGTCTGCCGAGTTACATACAAGAGCACAGTGTTCGAGTCAAGCGGGCAGACTCCCTCGGGGAAAGGTCAAGAGGACATGTGAGATGGTGGAGGCCATCTATCTATCTATATTGGAACCTAATCTAGTATATGGTACGAGCACAAGGTACGTACGTACCATATCATAACGTACCAGTACTCGAGTGCTGTACAGAACGGGGGTTGCAATTATTATTATTATTATTATTATTATTATTAGGGTATGTTTCTCACGTGTTAAAGGGGGGAGAGGAGGAGGGAAGGTTTGATTTCGAGTACGGTCGTGCGACTCGGTTTACTTGTACTGGAGCGGTACCGCGCTGTATAATCATTACCGTCACAGTAAGGAGCGCATGCTTGGCTGCGTATGGGAAATTAATTAAATTTGATGCTGGCTGTTTTTGTGTTCACGCATTACCGTACGAGTAGTCGGTATCGTACGCTATCATGGTCTACACGGCGCACAGCCTCTAGAAAGAGTGTGCGCCGAGAGGATTTCCTGAACGCCAATGATTGCCCGGCCAACCAAGGCTGAGCGAGAACAGCTACCAGTACTCGAGTACTGTACAGTACAGTGCCGGTATGTTGGTATGATATTCATTTCTCGCAATGGGACATCTGAGGCCTCGCTCAATTTCAAGGCTGTACTCGAGTACCGGCATGGCAAATACGAAGGTTCACCCGCGTAAAGAGAAGCATGATTATGGATTGCCTTTTTTTTTTCCCCTTTTCTTCCCCCCCCCCTCCCTTCTCAAGATAGCGCACAAAGTGAAAGGTTTTTTGTTCGACTCGAAAAGAGGGTGAAGGAAGGAAGATCGAAAGAAATAAGGAACAAGGGAGGGAAAGAAAGGGTTTGGGGGAAGGTTGTTGGCTGAGAAAATAATGGAAGTGGAGATAAACAGATAATTGAACAGAACGCGGGGTAAAGTAAGGGATAAAATAGATAAGAGAGAGAAAAGGTGTGCACCGTCACCTCCAACGACAGACGTAGTGCTCAAGAACAATGTAGGATTATTCAAAGACCACCACCCTGGAGCGATAGGATAAAAATTACCTGTTCACAGGGCTCTTTGGTTTCTTTTTAAAAAAAAAAAACGGACTCCGGGGGGGCACTCCACCGGATTAAGGAGGGAAAAAAGACAAAACAGCTCCAGATTTATCGTAAGGCGTTAGGGTGGATCAAGGTTCTCACCAAGGTGTGTAAAACGGCGACCCCGGTCCTCTATCACCGGGTCTGGCCAGCTCCACATTGGATCGTATCCTAGGTGGGTCCGGACATAGTCGTTCACGAGATGCATGACGGGCGCACTCCACCACTCAAAATCAGGCTCCTCAGTGACAACATCCCCCTCGTCAAAATCATAATTCGCATCCGCCCCACGTGTTATAGGAGCTGTGATTCTGAATTTCGTACACGAGGATCTCGAGTCATCTTCATTGATATCCTGGTCGGCGTACTTGTCGCCGTACCTCAAATCATTCGGAGTGATGCGTCCATACCAGTCAAAGCGGTTCCCAAAGTCTATCCGATCCTCAACATCGGTGTGGACCGCGTGATCCCTGGTCCAAATACTCTGCACTTGCCACTGGTTAACCCTCATATTTTCTATCCAGTCGTTCCACGACCAGCCGTAATACCGGCATTTCGAGAAAGGCTCTGCGTCCTCGTCCCAGATGTCTGGGTCTGCTATGCCAGCCCCTTCATATTGCTTGAGAATATCTTTGATATTTTCGGAGATTGGGAGATAACCAGAGTGGTCCCAGTCGACGATGCAACTGATCTTTTTGCCCTTCATGAGAATGCAATCATCGGGGGGTGAGAGCTTATTGTGTGTGAGGACATGGAATGGCTCGGTGCGGAAGGTGTGCACAGCCGGGTCTTGAATGGCGGCTTGGAGGGTCCGAAAATCCTCAAACCAATTGGCCGCATTGAATCCGTTGGGCATCGGTACCGGGAGCAAAGGGCGCAGGTCGTTGTTGCTAATCACTGCTTGCCAGTATGTGTACTCCCGTGAAAGGTGAGCACCCACCCAGGCTCGATTGTTTGGGTAAGGAGGATTAAACCCAGCTTCCCAATAAGTACCATTTACACCGGTTCCCGCAAAATTCGGATTAGTGGTAGTTGAGAGTACCCCCTGTTCTTCTGTCAGCGAGGCTTCTTTAATTTTTTTTCCCAATGGCGGAGACTCCTACCCGCCCTTGGATCGGAGACTCTACTCCGTTTTGGTTGTTGCGTATGAAGAATAATTGGAGACGTATCAATGCCATCTTCCTCACGAATCGTCGTTTCTGTCTGCGCGTCCAACCCTGATCCCCTTGTGGAAAGGTTCCGAGGAGAGTTCCATTGTCCTTGATATGCTCCATTATGATGAAACCGCGCTCCCTCCGGTTATACACGAGATTGTCCTCTGGCCCCTGAAGGCTGTGGGTATATACTTGTGGAACTGGTATGTGACGAAACTCGTTAGGGTGGTCGATATAATACTGACGGATAGCATTCAGAGCCCTGATTTCAGCGTATGTAGCCCACGCCCGATGTTCTATATCCCCTCTGCGTCTCTTGCACACGGCTATGGCGTCCACTGTGGGGGGGAGCGGCCGGCGGCCGATCACTATCTGGGGCGAGTTCTCTGGCTGTGTGTCTCCTCTATCCCATCTATCGATTGTGCCCCCACCAACCCCCTGCTTCTGATCCGGGCCCCCTTTGCTCGCTACTTTTGGGTCTAGTGGACGCCTTCTTAACCATGCCGGTGCGCGTGATCCCTGGGTGGGTGGGTGTGCTTCTCTGTAATAGCGAGCTAGCCTGTCCGGTCCCCCTCGTCCATCGGGCAATTGGTCTTCAGGGAGTGATGCACGGAAGAACTCGGCCGTGGAAAGCCATGTATCAGGGTCAACTCTCGAAACCATTGCAGAAAACGTTGGAAACTTGGGCGCTTTGCAAAGGTCCTCCGGTGGGTAACGCAGCTGTGGGTTGTGAAGGGAGGTCCTATATAACAAGTTCGGTACCCAGAACAAAGAACACCAAAATAATTGACGAGTAAACATCTGCCATGCTCAGGACAAGACTGCCCTACGTGAATTCAACAAAGAGGCTGGCCACAATTGTTTTTGTCTTTTAAATTTGGCGCCCTGGAGTCAAATAATGAAAGGAATCGCCTATTCCTAGCTTATTCATGGTAAATCACTCGTGCTCTCACAACCTGTCAGCCTGCCACTCCCAGCAAACAAAAGAAAGGGAAGGGAATCCGATGTTACCCCCCTCTGATTTGTGTGCTAGGGTGCCCCTTCTTTCACCAAATTTGCCAAATCTTTACGTCTATGCATCCATCACTATTCGCTCACCATTGTTCAATAACGAGGTGCCAAGAAAGGAATTACAAACCAAAAACGCCAAGCGAAGGCCATCCCTAAAACGGCTCAGCGGCAAACCAAAAATCCCCACAAACACCTTGAGCATCAGGGCACGGGAAGAAGGGTGGAAAATATCCCCCAAAAATCCCCATCACAGAAAACCTCCCCTCCCCTCTCCTCCTCTTTTTCCCAACTTTCCTTTTCTCTCACACAAACTACCACCACCCCTTTCCCCGCAAATCTTCAATCATACGCACGCATACACCCCACCCCACCTCGCCCGCCGAAGGGAAAACAATCAAACAATAGCCAATTGACTCACTTTTCTCCTCTCCGGCGATGCTCTCCCTACTCCGACGCCCTCCATCATCATCAGCTGCAAGTCTTTCCGTTACCCGCTGCTACCGCGGATTCTCGTGCTCTTCCGTCTCCTCCGCAGACATGTCGAGGATTACGATTTCCGGGAAATTAGTTAGAACCCCGGAATTAAGTACTACCAGTAGCGGCCGCAAGTGCATCCGTTACACGATCCGTTCGTGGCAGGGTAAAGAGAGGACGAATTTCTTCAGCTTCCTATGTATCACTGAGAATGCGCGGTCTATCGAATACTTGACCAGCATACCGCGGGGGTATGTATTACATGTTTACCCCCGACCCGCCTATGCACCGGCCACCTTTTCATGCGACAGATTTTTCACCTTTCTCTCTCTCCTTGTTATTAATCAGAGTTAATTGATTGGATTAATTGACTGACTAAATTGTCAAATCCTGGTGGTGGTGTTGGGGATTTTAGCTCTAGGGTAGTAGCCGAGGGTCAATTTAGCCCATACCAAATTGCCAATGAAGACGGCTCCAAGGTCCAAAAGTATTCTATCTTCTCCAGTGCGTGTAGCCTTACTCTTTCCCCCTCTTTCTCTCACTCCCGCTAAGGCTCCCACCGAGACTACCCAGACCTCTTGCATGTGATTGAGAAAGCGGAGCCCGGGGCAGCAGCCGGCGAAGCCACTCAAGCTCAAGAAGCATCTGCGCCCACCGAAGCCGCTCAAGCTCAAGAAGAACCTGAACCCACCGAAGCCACTCAAGCTCAAGAAGAACCTGAACCCGCCGAAGCCACTCAAGTTCAAGAAGCATCTGCGCCCACCGAAGCCGCTCAAGCTCAAGAAGAACCTGAACCCACCGAAGCCGCTCAAGCTCAAGAAGAACCTGAACCCACCGAAGCCACTCAAGCTCAAGAAGAACCTGAACCCGCCGAAGCCACTCAAGTTCAAGAAGCATCTGCGCCCACCGAAGCCGCTCAAGCTCAAGAAGCACCTGAACCCACCGAAGCCACTCAAGCTCAAGAAGAACCTGAACCCGCCGAAGCCACTCAAGTTCAAGAAGCATCTGCGCCCACCGAAGCCGCTCAAGCTCAAGAAGCACCTGAACCCGCCGAAGCCACTCAAACTCAAGAAGCATCTGCGCCCACCGAAGCCGCTCAGGCTCAAGAAGCACCTGAACCCGTCGAAGCCGCTCAAGCTCAAGAAGCGCCTGCGCCCACCGAAGGCGGTGAAGCCCCGGATGTCAAGCCCCATTGATCTCCCCTTCCTCCATTCCAGACCTCCGAAAACAAAGGCCACTCCTCGTAGCACTAGGACAGGCTGGGGGGGGGGGGATAGGTGCACATCTAGTTACTTGCTACATTTTCCTTTCTTCCCCTCTTTTGCTCGATTGTCTCCTTTTCCATCCATTTGTGTATCACAACGACGACCGCGATATCGTCCAATATCAATTATCAATAGCCAACCAACTAACCAACCGCTCTCTCCCCCTCGGAATAACTGGTACCATATCCCCCCAGGGTTGGATTGGATTGGATTGCCATAGATCGTCATAGGGATATCTTCAGTTGCTCGATCGGTTTGTTTGTTCTTCACTTCTTTGTAGAAACGTTCTTATCCTCTTTCTTCAACTACGTCCTATTCCTTCATTTTTTTCTCGGTCTCCTCCGTCAATGGAAATTATCGCACAGTATCGTAGGGGGCACTATCACATATTTCCACCCTTTGCTTTTTTTTGTTTTTGCGATAAAAATGTATCATACTTCATGATTCATCACTCGAACCATCTGTGACACTAGGAGTTAGTGAAGAGAGGCGCTTGATTCGATGGCGGATTTTGGGTATAGAAAAAAATTTCGGGCGAGGACCCATGAAGACTAAAGAGTGGGGGTGGGAGGTTGTGAGCTCTTCTTATCCGGTATGGTATGGTATGGCATGGTAGTGGGCATGCTCGAACATTTTTATCCTATGATATCTTACCGGTACTCGTATTTACAGTAGATATTCGATCCGCTGGCGTGTGTCTGCGATTTAAGTTTTGGAGGTTAAGACAGTCCACCTATCATTTCCTATTTATGGAATAAGTGGCACTCGCAGTGGGAAGCTTAAGTGACATGTCCCACCGGGTCCCCAACTTGTCGTGGCTGTTGTTTGTAAGGCCTCCACACTTTGAAAGCGAATGTACTCGAGTAAGTAAGAAAGGGGGATGAATAGAGTTTTCATTGATTAAATGTATAGTACCATACAATAGATCAAAAGTGGTAATTTTCCATCACAGCAAGCGTATCATCTACTACCCTAGTCACAAAAATTAAAAAAGATTTAACAAAAATAAAAGCTTCGGCTCACAACTGATGAAAGCAACTAGGTCAGAACGTGAGCGACTATCGATACAAGTTACAGCCCCATATACCATGCCGCACCCACCTCCCGTTTATTGTTTCAGTATTAACAGATCGTCGCCCTCCTATTCTCCACGACGATATCTTTGTCAACGCGGATTCCTCGGTCATTGTAGGTTACGTTTCCGGTATATGCTCTAACCACGAAGCTTGGGCGTTCGTTTGTCAAAGGCCATGCGGGGGCTCTCGGGTTTGCTTCTATGTCGATGTCGACGGTTTGGCTTCTGGTTGTATTTGTAGTTATGGTTGGGGATTCCGTAATTGACCTAGCATGCAAATTAGGATTTGACTAAAGGGGCATATAATAGGGGATGGCAAACTCGCTTATCGTTGGATGCCTCGGAGGGTGATTCATTACTAAAGTTACTACTTCCGAGTTGTCGTCGCGATGCCCAACGCTTTGGTAGGTAGCTTTCAATTGTGCCCGTGCCACTTTGAGAGCCGCTTCGATTATTCCCAAGAGTAAACGTTCCCGTTATGGAGTCTGGGAGGTATTTCCCGAGTCCAATGGTATCCAACCAGCCCCTATACATCCTCAATGCATCACTACCCGTTCCGAAGACGAAGAAAAGGATATATCCTGCACCAACGCTGATCCACCGGTCGAACTGGACAGTGTCGTATGAAGGGATTCTGAGAATGTAGTTCCAACCTTTGCCGTGGACAGAATTCCAATCATAAGTGACCCGTGGTTGATCCAGGTTCCGATAAAATACATAGAAAGTCAACGGGAGATTGATGAGCACGAGTATCAGGGAGAGAACAAATAAGCGGATAAATCTCGATGTTGTAAGACCGGAATTGGAGCTTCGAAGGATGTCCGCAAATTGTTGGCGATATATATGGACGCGTGCTAAGACCAGACCTATAAGAAAACAGTTAGTGAAAGGAGGATAAAGAGTGATAATATGTGATGAGGGCTGAGGAAACCAAACCTGCATAATAAGCAGAAACGAGTGAAATAATTGGCGGCCAGATCAAGATCAGTGGAATCGAAGGCCAAGAATAACTGATGGTGGGCGTACATCCAGTGGTGGCCAGGAGCAAGTATCTGCTGGGTTGAACGAGGTAATGCATCACCATCATCCATACTGGTAATCCCAGGCACAAAAGTAGGTCCTGTATCAACTCCTTCCTGCGAACCCGTTCCGTCTTGATTACGGACAGCTTGTCCGACATAGCCCTCGCGAGATTCCTGGCAATAGCTACGACAGAGCCGACCATTCCAGCTCCGGAGGCGATGAAGAACTTGACTTCGATATCGCAGAAGATCTTGCCGTCCCAAGCGGTGTAGATATCAAACCCAGACCCACCCCAGATAATTGCGTTGGAAAAAGAAAGGAAATTGGAAATCGTAATCCAGACGATCAAACATATCGCCGCAGCGTTTCCGTTGCGAATATGCCAGGCCAAAGGTACGAGGGCGGCGATGATGGACAAGCCACTAAGGCTTATGAAAATATTTGTAGTGGTCATAGAAAAGATTGGAAGATGAAAGAATTGAGGTGAGTATTTTTAGAAATATGTAGTCTAGCAAGTGGTGTGCTCGCGGAATGAAAGAAGACGACGATGGGGAGGGCTGGGGAGAGGTGATGGAGAGAACTCATAGCCAATTTTTTCGAAGATATACCCACGTGCCAAACATCTATAAAAGCTATGAACCATAGAGGAGTAGGGGGATGAATGGTTATGCAGTAGTAGTTTGATGAGCTCTATACCGCCCCAATGGGGGAATGTCAAGGGTTGGTATTGACGGGAACGGGACATCTATTGAACTGGGTATTACCAGATCGGGTTCTCAATAGGAACCTCAATGGTATCACAGCGTGTAAGGAGCTCGGACCATCCTACCCAAGAATCCTCAACACAAGTAGGTCTCAGGGCACGAACCTACCAACTACAGCCCAATGTCACGGGACCTGCCATGGAATGTTATCCCCTTTCTCAAGGGTTGTTCCATCAGCGGCGGCCAGCGCACTACTGGCACGATGGGCAAAGGTTTGTGTGAGAGTTCACGGTGCTCTGTGGTTTGTTGAAGAGCCAATGAGTGAGATATCATATACCCAAACCACACCTCTAGACTTTAGTGCTCCATAAGTAGGCACCCGTCACACCATGATAACGTTATACAAGTGCACAAAGTACCGTACTCGTACAGTACATACAGTGGTCTTTAATATCACATATCGCATCTTATCTATTCATGTACAAGTACTCTATTGTGCATAAATTGTGTGAGAGAGGAATACCGGTATGTGCCTCCATCTTCACCGGTACTCGCCCTTAAGCAGCGTCAGGGGTTTGCTTGGCCCTGCGCTTTTGATGCGTTCTTTTCCATCACTCAAATAAGAGTTGACAGGAACTCGCTCACTATCCTCCCACATGCAACGAATACCGGGACAAGCACCAACAACCATTGACGGCAATAAAAGTGCATCTACTGGTAGTCAATCCGTAGTCTTGCAAACCCTTTCATCACCGCAAAGTATTCATTGGTCAATTCCTCAGTGCCGTCGGGTCAATTTAAGAGGCCTCTCAGCGATAACCACCGAGAGGTACTTATCGCCAAGCTTAGGGCAGGCAGCCAGGAGGACCCGGGCGCTCAGCCGCGTGGGAGATCCCGATTCCCTCTCCTCTCTTTCCTCGTGACGTCAAACATGCTGGACCTTTCTCCCCTTTTCTCTCCAAGGTTTGTAACTCCCCCCCCCACGACACGTAGACTAACGCTCCCATCTCTTTTCCGCTTCCCCTCAACTCCCTTTCCTTTCACTCTCCCCCTAGTCCTCCAATTGCTCCTCATAAACCACCACCATTGTTAAATATCATCCCCTCTCGACAACTTGACTATTATGCTGACGCTTTCGACTGCTGTTGGCATGCTGTCGAGGCTTCCGGGAGCGTGGTCAATTGCTAAGGATTGATTTGATAGACGTGCCTCCCACCAACCAAAATTTTGGGGGCTTGCATCAATTCACTGACGCTGGCACTATTATGTCAATACATCAAGGCTCTTGATCAAAGGTTCTAATGACCTAACAGCCATCAAATAACTTATATTTATATTTCGAGGAGAAGCTAACCACGCATGCACACACACATCTTTACAGTCATAATTATTTTTTTCCTCGGAACAAGTATGTACGCTGGCCTAATTAATCCTCCGTCGACATATCAATGGACGAACGTCTGTTTGCCATCTTTTGGTGCCTTTTGGAAGAGAAGGAACAATACGGTATCAATTGCAATCTACGCCGCATACCGTTTTCTTGACTCGCTGCCATGCCACGTCACTTGCGTCTACAATCTATCAATTCAAAACCGACGAAAGAGCCGCTCAAAGGTATCATAGCCGTGCAAACTGCAAATGGGTGACCCGCGAGAGGAACTGCGTGATTGTTTGCAGAGAACAGGTAAAAAAAAAGAATAAAATGTAATAACGGAGAAAAGTTTGAACAGTTGTCATCATCAGGACTAGTTGCCCTTCGAAGATTGCCATTTTCCCCACCCAATTGATGGATGGAATACACATGTGGGCGGGGAATTTCGGTCAGGCAACTCGGGACTTTGGTGTCGACCGTTCGGTGTCACTCAGGTGATCAAATGACCGCATAAACGGCAATTCCACCATGTTATTAACGTATCAGTTTGACAAATTTTGGATGCTTCAACGAATCAACCTGTCATTGATGACTACGGTGTTTAGCGAGTTCGTCAATCACGCATACCAGACTTATTGCACGCCTATCTTAATGCCCAGTCACCACAGAGGAAGGGAACGAGTATCACCAATCACGTGGATCTGCCGTATCGATATCCGGGGTCTTTGTGCATAACGTGTTCCTGAGCCCCACGGTTTCAAGAGGACAATCCGAACATGTCTAGAAGGCCTATCGTTCGTCGCAACACTATCTGTCATGCCATCTGCGCTATCAAATCCTGCTTCCCCCGGACCCGATCCCCAAAGTATGGGAATAGTGGTTTCATTATACAAGCGAAAAAGAAAAAAAAAAAGCGGATCGATCGGATCTGTTCGAGGATAATCTCCTCTCCCTCCTTTCGTTCCTTTCTTCTTTCTAGAAGCCAGAGTCTTGACTTAAGATCGCCCTCTGTCCTAAGCGGCCTAAAGGATATTTGGGTGCACTCCTGACAGGAGACAAACTAACAGTTTCATGGGTGAATTCGTCCGTCTGTAACAGTCCCCCTTGGTGGATAGGTCCAGGGATAGGGACGCAAACCATAGATTCGCGAGAGCCCTCGCAGCTTTTTTGGGTATGACTGCTGTCGGTGGTTTCAGCTTGTCGATATCTCTGGAAGCTTGGTAGCGAAGACTCTCCGCAGCGGTGAGGAGGCGAGACGATGAACAAGTAGGAGGTGTGGAGCA